AAATGTTCTCGCGGTCACTAAATGACATTCGGTACCGCATAGTTCGAGATAATATTTAAACCTTATATTAATAGCCTCATAATAAGATCCTATTTTAATGTAAACTTGTAAGGAAAAGCTTCCCTTAAAAACTGAATTAAATTAAACAACTCTCCGTCACCGCGACAAGATCAAAATAAATTAAAGCTTGAAATGTTTATTACGCCTATTCTCCGAGTACACACGAGACCTTCGTCTCGACAAAGCTAAAAAGTAAACCTCGCAAATCCCCAAAATGTATTATTAAAAGCTAAAGTACGAGTATGTACTCATTGGGTGGGCAGCACGTGAAATTTCCCTGAATACATTGCTTTTTTGGATTGTACAATATCTATGAATGTTCTTCACTGTTTAGTGGTGGAACATAAATAGATACTTAATTCAGCTCATATTAAAGTAATCAAGAAACACATTGCCATTGTTCCACATTTTCTATATATGTATGTACAAATTGTAAACTCCACATACTTAAGCTGTGTTCATTGAATCGCTGTAAAGTGAGGTGTAAGTACCTCATGTCCGTCTCGTCGTCAGTGGCAGGTGGCTGGCGTCCGTGAACATTACCTAGCCTGCTAGCGGTCACAACCACACAATACGGTTCACAATAGTACATTCATTTTCATAAGCCATCTATAAACTCAAATGAACTGTTCTTTCTTTTTATATAATGTATAGATATGTAGATGATAAGAATAAAACGGGTATGTAAATTCACTAAACTTCTTTATAGTACTTGCTAAACTTGAATTCGTTGATCATTATATAAAGCCCATAATTACTTGGTTTTAATTTATTTATTTATTCAGTAGTCGACCGGCCCATCTCCAGGGAAGTAAGGTATGTAAATATTATATGTATATATGAATATTTAATATATTGTATATTATGTACGACCAATATTATCATATTATAATTATGGAGGATTATACGTAGGTGTAACGACCATATCAACATATACGTAATGACGCACTATATTACATTATGTATACAAATATACCGCTACTTATAACATGTGAAGAACTATTTCGGGTTACTTATTATAATAACTGCTTTTCAAGAAACTAACAAGCAAAGCTGTTTTGTATTTGGAAGCCTCTTTGTGACATTCAGTACCTACTTTGTGGTGAAATCATTTGACCCACTTCACTTTATAAGTTAGACAAATGAAAGGTCAAATAAATCTAGGTAACTTAGCATCCGTAGCAGTATTCATTAAATTGTAACAATGACAATTGAAAGTTTCTTAAACCTTACAAGTCAGCAAACTGCGGCAGGGAATTATTACAATCACTCTTGCAATGTATTGTTAACCAGCTATATTTACCTACTTACAACTTGTACAATATACAAAAAGAAACCATAAAAATTGGCCACTGGTAAGGCAGCATTTTCTTTTGTTAATAAATATTGTAGTGACGTGCGTTGAGTTAACTAACAACTTTTTTTTTCTTATATGTTTACTGGAAATGTATTTCGAATGAAAATAGAGTTAGAGTTCCTTTTTAGATGTGTATAAATATAGCAGGAAGTGATACAGGCTGCACTGGAGCTCGCGTGTCCGCCGTATCGTAACGCGACGCTGAAAGCACTCAACTTGTATTACCGATGGCCTACCCACTGAGATCATATAATACTTGGATACGGTAGCCTTTCTTATATTTAAACCTCATACAAAGTCAAAATCATTTATTTGCATGAAAATGGAAAATGATTGTATGTTGAACGGTTCGTAGTTATAAATTAGATATTGCATCTCTATACATTAAACATCATGAGATATGACAAATATACTATGTATTGTTGTAATGTTAGGTATTTTTCATTGTGTTACGTTAATGAAAATCGTGTAGTTTCATATACTGTCACGCATTTTATCCCCAATGAGGTAGGTAGAGGTTGCATATCCTGCTACTGCACATGTTGCTACAATGACGACCCAATTTTTCACCAGCTATATTATGAGGTCCTTGTAATGGGGGTGAGCTATTACCTATACTGTATGATACTCTATAATTTTTGCACCACCCATGAACTCAAGACCTTGCAAGACTTGCGCGGCAGGAGAGCTTGAGAACACCAAACCAACGAAACGAAATGAAAAGTCTAACATTAAAAAATATTCTGTACTGCAAACAAGGCAACATGTCAAACCGAGTATAAAACGTATGATCTTGAAAAACCTACGCTGCGATTTACACCTATTTGAAGAAAGTTCCCTGCTACTATTAACACGTTTCTAGTTTCAAAGATCGGTGGCTACGAGACTACGTCGCTACGCCAGTAGGTAGCTACGCCGTAACTCGTAGCACAGCTACGTGGCTACGAGTTATCATGTTGCATTGTGTGTGGTCTTTGTTTGTTAGTGGGATTGTATCCTTTTCCGAAGTATCGAGTTTATTGCAATTTGTTACGGATGATTTAATTCTCAAACTAATATATCTACACTTTTACACAGCTTAAGAATGCAATTTTTTACATCACTTTACTTATATTACATTTCTCATTCTCATCGCTTAAACAAGCATTTCTAATACATTTTATGCAAAGTTTTGTAATACATTTTACTTTACGTAACCGAAAAGGCTCATATTACTTAACTGTCTGTAGATTTATTGAACGTCTGTGGAGTTTCTGAAGTAATGCGGTCCCTAGGTACGTTCACGAACAAGTCTGACAACAAGTATTTGATGTGATAATGATTGGTGAATGATCGGCTTTTATTTTTATCTTCAATATCAATTAACTGCACTTACCATCGCGGGTCCCAATACGATACAATTACTGTGTGATCCTCGAGAGGGTCTTGATTTAATTGCATGTGAGTGCTATGATGATTCTGTTGACATCTCCTCTAATAAATTTAGTATTTGTGAAATATTTTTTTCTGAAACGCACTCACTATACCGAAGAAACAACTAAAATTTGAAACAGTACCTACCATGAAAATCTTCGATATGTTTCACGTTCATACAGAGTACAAATATATATTTAGTGCAGAGTGCGACGCGGTGATTATGTCAAAGCACTAGTGAGGGTCCCTCACTTATCTCGTCGGCTGAAAGAACACTTAGGCTGTCATTGTAGTTGTTCACAATGTTCACACACTGTGCACTCACACAATGCCTTACAACCGACGAATTGTATGAGAGCGTGAAAATATATGATAGTGATATAATTGATAGTGTTATTGTAGTTTTAGACTTTACTCGGCAAAGGTATAAAAACATATTAATAGCAAAAAAACTTCATTCTTTTTTACTTTTTTGTAAAACAACTTTCGACTCGTAGATTTGATAGTGAAAAATGTACAAAATAACGGAAGCTAACAGTATTGTTCGAAGTGTTTTTTATACAGTTTTGTTTTGACTTCCTATATTAGCTGGATAGATGGGTGGCGCGCGACAAACGGTGGAATTTTTCTATTGCTGAGCAGATGTCGCGCGTCCTCAATGTATGTGTCCTCTTGTCCTCGGGGAGCTTCTAAACCTTTATCTTTTAAATAATGAGCAGTGTTTGTTGTTACTACAGAATTATTACTTCTATTTTACTACTCTAAGAAATACTACACCTAGTCGTACATTTCTGTTTTTAAAAAGCAACGTATAGAAATCTGTACATCAAATCTTGCATACAAACATTATTTCAAGACGAAACCTTTCTTATCAATCACTCAAGTACTTTTACTAGCCACACCTAACAAGATACTTCTCAAAAACCTCAATAGGTAGTTGTACAATTACTCGTGGAAACAAAACCGATCACTTTGTGACACTGGTGAAATCGTCCGAGTTACATTAAACATTCAGCAGGTTACGGCGAAGGTTCAGCTTCAGCAGCATTTTCAAAGCAAAGCCTTTGTAGCTACAAACTTAAATATTTCCTGCTCCATCGTCTTTGTGCGTATCTTGTAATATTTAGGGCTGTTTATGCACTTCACTTAGTTATTTAAAGCTGTAAATGAAATGAAAATTTGGTCGTGCCTTTGTGTACATCTTGGGTAGTCTAGCAATTTATATCGACGATGTGTTTGACGACCTTTGAGGTTTATAGTTGTATGACTGATACCTGCTATCTGGAAGCCGGAGCGTGTGAGAAAGCTTACAATCATTCTTTGCTGTTATAGTCGTTATATATAAAACTGCCTCAGTATATTTTACCTATCTATACTAAATACACAGAACCTCTTCTCTGCGTTCACATAACCAGATTCTCACAGATTACATTATACACTGGCAAGTTATAATGAGTTGAACAAGACGCTAACTAGTAACTCACAACAAGTTAACACACCACGGTTTAGCTGAGGTGGAACCGCCTTCAGCACACGGTGCGACCTGTCGACTATATTCCTGTCACTTATCTGTAAACTTATATTGAAGAAATGCTCTGCCTATGCTTGTTTTAAAGATAAATATTTGTGTATGACAAAAAAAATGTCTTAGTCACTAATCCAAGCGGATGAAGTCGCGATGAATTAGATATTAATTACAAATTATTTTCAACAAATTAGTTTGCAGTGTATGTCCCCTTGTTTAATTAACAATTTAATTGCGTGCAACTGATTTCGCTTCCAACAAATAATTATACTGAATTAAGCTTCTACTATATACTAATTACGCGCTCTATCAAAGCAGGAAATTGCAATATATATGCTATTAGGCTGGTCTAAAATGGGTGCATTCTGTGGATTATTAGTTATTTAGGTCTCCCGCTAAGAGTCAACGGGAGAATTGGGTCAAACTAGGCGGCCGTGGCCTAACAATCTGCAGCGGCTTATTAACGCCGCGAATTATTACTGACTGGCTGTGTTATTAACCTGACTTGCCCAAGTTTTGTACGATAGTTAATTGAGCAAGATCGATCAATGAAAATACTGCTTATATTGTGTAGAAATTTATTAATTAAATCGTTATTTTACGAAGCAAGAGAGTGTTTAATGATATGTCACTGTTTCTCCGCAGGGTATCTTCCGGCTGGCGTGTGAGCACGTGTTGCGCACTATGCGACGCGGCCGGGAGACGCTGCTGACCCTGCTGGAGGCGTTCGTGTACGACCCGCTGGTGGAGTGGGGCGGCGCCGCCGGCTCCGCGGGCAAGCGCCGCTGCACCGCGCGTGACGTGCGCTCAGCACTCGCCATGATGGCAGTGCGCACGCAGGAGCTTGCACATCAATTCACTGAAGTCACGTGAGTTTACCTACCTCTAACAACTATGACTCAACAACTCACGATAATATACAAATACTATTCTCGTAACAAAATAAACGCGCGCCAGCGCAGCGGTATAATCCGGTTTTTATAAATGTGTGTTTAGACTAGCCAGTCAATGGAGTATTTATTACGTACGTCTGCACACTAAATTTCTTATCTGTCTACAACCACTACGAAGGATACATAAAGACGCAGCCACAGTAAGGAGGTATATATTTAGTGCATTGCTTTGTTACGCCACATCGTACGATGCTGTGCGCCATGCAACGGCAGATTAACGTGGCGCTGTAAATACAACGCGTTATCTGACGGAATGCCCGTCTTAAAATGCATTTATTTATATGACCACTAGGGATGATCCAACCAGACAGCAACAAACGTTAAACAGACTTTGACTGCGATTGATATTGTTGCCTTATGCGGCTTTGTTCGGCGAAAGATAATACTCAGTTATTTTGTTTTGTTAATTCAATGTACTTACTACGTATTCGTGTCAGTAATTGTTATAATATCGGTGTCAGTATTTTTTGTGGTATAGATTTGGTTTGGTCGATTCCGATATCTCGCATCCCTATTTATGAAATCAGTTTTCAAGTGTATTTATCACTCAACGTTAAATTGAAAAGCACCCCCAATCCGTCGACCGCAATACGTTAAATATATCGAGGCCAGTTGATACAGCGGCTGCCCAATACATGCGTGTAGATCAATGTTGTTTACTATGAATGAATATTGTTTGATAGTTCACTGAGCTGACAAAATAAACAACGTTATCAACTATGCTACGTATAGATAAAGATGTGACAAACCGACCATAATTATATTGTATATTAATCGAGTCCACTACAAACTACACAAATGATAAAATTATTTTATTTTCTTGTGATGAATGGTTGAAATAAAAACGACTGGTTAATGAATTTATCTGTGGCTCTAGTATTTTAATTACTTAGTATCCTTGGATGGTTTCTACCATCACGCACGCACAAGTTGCAGAATTTTGGAGAACACCAGATAAAATTCTAGAATTTGTCACTAGCTCCATATACAAATATTAACATTAAGTACATTTTCCCGTAAAATGTCTTGTTGTTAGCGCGTCGTTCATAGCTTTCTCATAAATATCTATATCATCGGATGTGTTAAGACCAATCTATATTCGTATCCAATGTAAATTTCCTAAATAAAAACTGTTTTCACTTCGTATTCTTCTTCGTATTCTACTTCGTTACAAATTCTTGTTAGTTGGCACTTTGGCTCTCACAATAATATATGGATTGTTTTGTTTCAGAGAACAATTCTTAGCCGTATTACCCGACATCAAAGAATGTGCCGAAAAGTGGCTGAAGGAAAATGAGGACCTAAAGTCAGTCGAGACACGCTTGCAGGACTGTCACCAACAGATGGCTTTGATTAAAGAAATAGAAGCGTACGGGCCGAATCTAAACAACCACCCGTTGTACGCTATATCTCAGAAGTATTCGTCGTATAAACAAGCGAAGAACGCAGTGGAGGACTCGACGAAGGCTTTAGTGAAGATACTTAACGAGTTTGATACTCAGATAGAAAACTTCGCAGCCACCACGGAAGCTATCAATGGTCCACAACTAATGGCGTGGGTGCAAGAATTTTCCGGTGCCGACGAAGAGGAACAGCCGATATTCGAACATATAAAAGAGTTCCTTACTAATGCGGGACAAGCAGCCATGATATCACAATGCGAACAAGCTGAGACCGAGCTGTATCAAAGCATGAAGCAGACCCACCACCTCGTCAGGTCCTGTCTCGAACTACTCTCGCAGTACGTGGCAGTGTCTCAGTACTACCCACAAAGTCACACCGAGTACCACCGAGTGCTCGTGCTCAGGAAGTTAGTTGCTGCAGCACTGGAGAGTAAGTCTCCTGAAGTGTGTCGCGACGTGGCCAACCAAGTGGCAGCCCTCATCAATGCTGAGAGCAACAAGGGCGACACATCGCAGCAAATCATTAGCTACAACTATCGTCTGCAGAACATGAATGCAGAAGCGAATGCTAATTTGACCAAAGCTATAGAAAGACTGCAACTAGAAGGTGGTCCCGATGCACTGGTATTAGCTCAAGAAGCTTACAGAGAAGCCAAAACTAACATCAGTAACTGGGTGAGGACGGAGGAAGGCGCAGCGGAAGCTCTGGAGTCTGTAGTCATCGGCATGCTCTGCAACCTGAACAGGAGATACTTAATGCTGGAGAATGGAGCCCAGAGCGCAGGAGACTGTCTCGTGGACTTGACATCTAGAGAGGGAGAGTGGTTCCTCGATGACATGAGCACACTCTCCATGCAAGCGGTCGAGCTACTCTCGCTGCTGCCCTTACAGTCAGCGTCGGCTGAAGACGCCGCCATGCCGGTCGCTGTGGAATGCGTCCGAAATGCGAACCTACTCCTAGCAGACCTAGTGCAACTGAATTACAACTTCAGCACCATCATTCTGCCTGAAGCGCTGAAGAAGATACATTCTGAAGACCCGTCCGTGCTATTGATGATCAGCGAACTGAACGCAGTGATCGTGAACTCCCCGGTGCCGCTCAACGAGCTGCTGTCGCAATTGGAGCTCCATCTTAGATATCTAGTTATGGATATGGAAGTGAGTTTTATTTAGTTATCTAAAACGCGTTAAAATCAAACATCATAAAACATTTTTCTTAATAATAAATGACATTGTAAAAACTAATTTATTGTACCGATGCAGTCTCCAGCTAGCTCGGCGCCCCTACTAGCAGCCGAGGTGCGCACGCGGTACGAAGCTCTCCTGTCCGCGCCTGCGAATGAGGCGGAGGGTCAGTCCGCGGGCCGTATGTTGCTGATGGGCTTCAACGGACTCTTCGCAGCCGTGGAGCTGCGCGCCAGGGAGTTGGCTGATCATCTCGCGATACCCATCCCTCCTGCCTGGAGAAAGATCGATCATATCAGCGAATCAATGCATATGTCGGTGAGTGTACCCTGTTAAACAAACTCGTCCATCGTATTTCTGATACAATATTTATTTAAGAACAGGTGTGCTCTGACTAGGTAACACAACACACGAAATCACACATCGAAAATCGTATGTCAGAGCACACGATTATAATGTTATTTAAAGACTTGAGATCTGGTGCAATTTTTATAGAGAAGCATGACTAAATACGTAGTTGGTTGCATGCAGGCGGCGCTGCAGAACCCTGCGGTGCGGTCGGTGCTGGAGGAGGTGTTCCTGGTGCGGCGCGTGCGCACCGTGGCCGAGGTGTTCGCCATGTGCGCACAGATGGCGTGCGCCTTCAAGGGGACCGGACCGCCCACTCTCTACGACGACACTGCGCTCTGCAAACCTGTCAGGAGGTACACTAACATTACTGTAAATAGAAAATAAAACAGAACTTTTAACATGTGAACAATATATTACAAAAAATTGATGTGACTGGCATTTCCTATCTGATCATTCTGAGAAGATAAACTTACAGATCATTCACTTTTAAAGTCGAAATAGTTATAAAGTAACGAGGGAGGACAGTGCGCGTTCATTGTATATTGCATGTAGTGTGTACTTCTTGCAGGTTCACGGCGGAGTACGTGTCCCGCTGCGTGCTGGGCGTGCAGTCCAAGGCGTTGGCCAGCGTGCTCTGTCTGCTACTGCGCCGCGCCAACCTCGACCTGCACGCTGAGGTCGAACAGAAGGAAATCGGTACGGCTGGTTTTTATGTGTTTACTATTTATTGGTTTATATTGTTGATTTTAATTTTAATATACAATGCTCCATTTTAAAACGAAACGCGTATTATATCAGGCGCATCATGGAGCGTATCATTGGAGTCACTATGTGAGAAGGCGCGGCGCCGTGCGGGTGGGGGCGCAGGGCGCGAGCGCGGCGCAGGGCTGGCGCGCGGCCTGCAGGCGGCGCGCGGGCGGCTGGCGCGGGCTGCGCGTGCGCAGGGCGAGCAGGCGCGGCGCGCGGCCGCGGCGCACCGCGCGCGCCTCACGCAGGCGGCGCACGCGCAGCTGCACGCGGCGCAGCTGGCGGCCGGCCCCGAGCCCGGCGCGGCGCTGGCGCGGCGCGCGCGGGACCTGGCCGCCGCCGCCGACCGACTCGCCGCCGCCAGCGCCAAGGCACACACGCTGCTCACCTCCGCACACCAGAGGTAACATACACTCTTCACTAATCATCGACCTAAACCCGTTTTTGTCTATCGTTAGACATACACTTCTGTTATGGCTATCATCGCTCCAACTAGCTGGAGAACTTCCTTTATTTCTTCTAGATTCCTGGATTGCAGTTTCCCCTTCAGAACGTGTCTAATGGTCATCAATTGTTATAAGTTGTCTAAGTTAATAAGTCCAATGCAAGCAGATTCTTTTAAGTGTGAAACAGCCATTCTTCCTCATAAATGGACCTGCTTGACTGGAGTTATACCACGACCTTGTGTTACGTAGTGCGAGTGAGGTTACTAGAGGCCATATTATTCCGTCTCTGTCATCCTCAATCTTCAAGTCCTCTATATTTAAATTCTTTAAAAGTTAAGAAGAGACCTGCAATGCATTTGTAGTAACTACTTTGGTACTACGAGTGTTCATGGACGTCGTTGATTGATTATAATCAGGTAATCTATATATATAAAAGAAAGTCGTGTTAGTTACTCCACTTATAACTCAAGATCAGTTGAAACGATTTCGTTGAAAATTCGTAGGGAGGTAGCTAAGAACTGGGAGGAGGATATATGATAGGATGGGATAGAGTAGATAATGTAGGTTAGATAGAGTGGGGTAGGTAGAGTAGGGTAGATAGAGTAGAGTAGGTAGTCAAATGACGGGAGTGACGCCACGGGTAAAAGCTAGTTTGTAATATTTGTATGCTTGTTTGCCGATCTATGACGTAAAAAGTATTAGCCTGATGGCCAGTCTGGCTGATATTTGTGTGGTATCATCGTAGTCTAAGAAAAGTAACGAACGCGTTATCTTATTAAAAGTAAATAAAATTGAATAATGGACCGTGTTTGTGTCCGCAGAGTGAAGTGGGGTGCGGGGGCGAACCCCGCGCTGGCGGGGGTGGCGGCGGGGCTGGCGCGGGCGGGGGGGGAGGCGGGCGCGCGCGCCGCCGCGCTGGCCGCCGCCGCCACCGCGCTCGCTGCGCACGCGCACGTCGCCGCCACGCACACGCACCCGCCCACACACTACGCGCCGCTCACTGCCGCGCTCGCGCACTTCGAGAAGGTAGGCTTTTTAACAAACAAAAAAGAGAAACCTGTCTTATACTAGTGATTTTACTTTAAATACTTTATGATTGCAGGCATGTACACTGGCACAGAAGTACTCCCTGAAGGTGTCTCCGGTCGAGGAGTCACTCATGGAGATGTTACATCCGGAAGGAAACATTGACACACAATGGGTGAGGTTTTTGCCATTGAAGCCATCGATCACTAATAAGGAACTAGATACACAATCAGTGACAAAAAAATGTCCTAACTGAAAGTCCACCAAACTCAACATCGCGGTGTAGTTTTAGTTTAGTACCACTCGAATGCTCCGACGGTAAACACGCCTCAGTGCTCGTTTAAAAACTGCAAAAAACACACATCTAAGACGCAAAAAGGATGGAATTTCATATTTTCGTTAAGTAATAATATTATCATTATATAATTGTCATCATTCTATTTTAAATATTGATATTTTATTAAGAAATCAACTTTAAAACTTTTTCCAAATGAAATCGTATTCAAAAACCGGGGTTATAATGCACACAGTTTATAAAGACACTTATACTAAACGTAAAATCATTCTCTAGCATGACCACTTAAGTTGTTCGGTTTACGTGGATTGATTCTGTTCCGTTTAGCGGAGACGCTATTGTTTCTAATTTTATTTATTGATTTTTTTATTAAAAAATAGTTTTTATTTAATATTATACTTGTTTACTGTGTTTATAAAATATGGAATAGGCAGATATAATGGATTTAATTTTAACTGCAGTAAAGACATTTTTTTTTAGCTTTCATCAAAATCCCGTGCGGTATGAAAAATTGACAACAATAACGCCAACATTTTCAGTACTTACTTTAGATATACATTCTTTTTATTATTTTACATCTTTTTTATTTGACTTCGAATTTGCAAATTTAGGAAGGATTAAGGAGGACGAAAGTAATAAAAAAAAATTATAACTATATGCATTAGTTTCATTGGTAAATAAATGAACAAACCTATAGAAAAGAATACTATAAGTAATGCGTTTTCATTTTCGTATTTTTTTTTTAAATTATCAAAAAAAAATTGACAGAAATATATTTCTTACGAGACATTTCGACTCCAATCATTCTTTGTCCTAGCGGTGAGCCGAAGTCGTTAAATTTTATTGCTCATTTTTGACACATTGTAAATTCGACTTAAAAATATGCGAATATGGTTCAATTTCTTATGATTTATGCAAAAAATGTTTAGATTTTGTATATTACTTTGTGAAAACAACTCTATGAGTTGCATTTAAGGTTTAATTTACATTAATGCATGCTTATTTCAAGTATAAGTACCTAAATACAGTTGACGACAGTTTTGAAGCGAACTTTTGTATGGGATTGTGTATCTAGTTCTTTATTAGTGATCGATGATTGAAGCACATTTTTTATATTATAAGTTTGCAAATAAGTCGGTTGACTTAAACACCATGACAAAGTGACATGTATTAATTCTTAATTTCAAATTTGGGTAAAAGTGTTTTATTTATTTCATTAACTTAATTTTATTTGCATTAAGATGATTTCTAAATGTGGAAGATATTTTTTTTATTTTTTTTTCAACATACTTCCTCATTATAGTGTCTATAATCAAACTATGACTTTTCATTACTATTATTCATTATTAGTCTTCGGCCGATACATGCACACATGAAAACTATTTAATTTTTCTCATCATTATTAAATACTTTTCACAACTGAAATCATTTTCTTTTGTGAAGTTATTTTGTTTGTTTTTTATTTATTTAAATATTTAAAAACTTCGTTTGATACACGTGTGTATTGATATAACCGTCCTCGGCGCTTTAGGATTCAATGCACTTTAGCATTAATCACTAAAATTGCGAACACGTACCATAATGTACTTTTAATAGCAATTTTTGAAATGTATGGGTTATTCATTACTTTCCAAACTGTTTGAATGGACCTGGGCGAAGTGAGGTTGTATAGTAACGTGTAGCGGTACCCCCGCAGGTGGACAACGTGTCGGCCCTGCTCCGCGAGATGATAGCGTCGCAGAGCGCGGAGAGCGCGGCGCTGCGCACGCGCAGGCAGGCGGCCGGCGACGCCCTGCGCGCCGCCGCCGCCCGCGCGCTGCCGCCCGCCGCCGCGCGCGCCGCGCTGCTCGTCGACGTACGCGCGCCCCTCGCCGTGCTCGCCGGCTGCGAGGTACCACACCCACACGCTTACTGTCTTACTGTCGTTACTGCTTTAAATTCATCTCTACTGCGACCCTCCTGCACTATATTTGGATCAGCTAACAGCCAGTAATTCAATTAACAAAAAAGGTTTCCTACCGTTATGATAGAGGCACCTTAATTAAGGTGTATGTAAATGAGAGTATATTTTCATAAAAAATTATATCAGTTATTTTACTTTACTGTGTTCTTATATACTTGCAGGGCAACAACCCGGCCGCGGAGTTCATGTCCCGCGAAAAGATAATAAGCGAGCACCTGTCGGCGCTGGCGGCAGTGGCGCGCGACGCGGACCCTCGCGCCGTGGGGGGGGATGCGCGCCCCGTAGGGGGGGCCGCCCAGGCCGCCACTTACTTGCTGCAACATCTCGCCGCGCACCATGACGCGCTGCAACAGTACGTACCAACCGCTTTATAATACACAGCTCTGACACTTACTCTCTGCAGTAATACCATCGAAAGTTTATTCGACTCAAACTTACACACTAGCGGGTAACACGAAGCCTTTGACACAAATAACGACCCGCCCCGGCTTCGCACGTAGAGTGGACCGCCTATAAAAAGAGAGGGCAAAATAACTAAATGGCCCATACCCATGGCATTGCAAAGGTGCACGCATATGCACTGATTTCTATCATTCTTTGTTAATTAGGGATAAATGAGAGTATTATACACTTAAGGGTAAACAAATATAATCAGAATGCTCCGACTTTACACGTGTTATTGTTAGTCAACGATAAAAGATCATGCGACATTAAGTATATTGTTGTATGATATTTTGTAGATCATTTTAATTAATACATTTCCATTAAAAATGATACCTATGTAAATTTAACCATTAAGGCTGCAAATACGACGGAAGTTAAAAAAATTAGTACTTCTCCCGATTTCCAAACATTTCCCTTCACTGCTCTGCTCCTATTAATTGTAGTGTGATGAAAAGTATTCCATAACCTGCTCAGGAATATAAATAATAATAATTGTATCAAGTTTCGTTAAAGTCTGTCAAGTGCTTTTTGTTTCTTTAAGGAACATACAGACAGACAGACAGACAGACAAACAAACATACAAAAATTTTGCTACTTACATTTTTGGCATCAGTATCGATCACTAATCATCCCCTGATAGTTATTTTGAAAATAATTTTAATGTACTTACAGAATTGACCTCTCTACAGGTTTGTTATAAGTATAGCTATACTTTACAGAATGGTATTTCATTTCAATAATTAGCAATGTATAAGTATAATACATATATTCAGCAAACCATTCTGATACATTTACAGACTTCACAACAACTGGCCATCGGAAGCCACCGGGCGCCGCCTGACGCGGCAGGCCGCCCTCGGAGCCGGGGCGAAGCCCGGCAGCATCAGACAAGGTCAGTATCTTAACGTCGGAGCTACGAGAGAACCGTCCGGTAGTCCGGTGCGTCGTATAACGGGTCGGCGTGTTGCAGGCGGCGAGCGCAACGCGGTGGGGGCGGGCGTGTGGAAGCGCGTGCGCCTGAAGCTGGAGGGGCGCGACGAGGCGCTGGGCGCGCGCCGCCTGGCGCTGGCCGACCACGTGGACGCCGTCATCCGGGACGCCGTGAGCTGGGGGAACCTGTGCCACATGTACGAGGGCTGGATGGCCTGGGTCTGAGCCCCCCGCCGCCGCCGCCCGCCGCGCCTGCGCCCTCCGGCCCGCGCGCCCGCGGACGTCGCCAGCCCGCGCCCCCGCGCCCCCGCGCCCCGCGCCACCCGTCGGCCCGCAGCCCGGCCCGCGCCCCCGTCGACCGTCGGTCGGTTTTGGATCGCGTTTTTACTAGTTTTATCGTTTTGTTCGTTTCGGTCAGCTATGGGCGCTGTCGGCTCGGGCCGCACTAGGGTAACATTATGGTTTCGGTAGAAGCCGCCGGCTCGCTCGGCGCCGGCGCCCACCAACCGGGGGCGGCGCCCGAGGCCGAGTCGGGCGCCGCCCGCCGGGCGAGCTCCGACTCTCGGCGTAGTGTCACTCGGTGTCTCGGCGCCCCGCCCCGCGGGGTCGCCTGTCTCGACCATCGTATCACTAACATGACGCAGTCCTTGACACCCAACTATTTCATATTACAGAAACATAGTTGTTACTTCGAGTACTATACCGGTCTGGTGTTATTTTCAACTAAATTTAAGTAAATGTTGTTTGTTCTACCCGTACAATAGCGTGTTTATTTAAATAAACATCTTCAAGTCGAGGCGACAAAATTTTACATTTATGTGACGACATTGGCGTACAAAATTTATTTGTAGCTCATATATAATATTTTTAATAAAAAACTTAAAAAAAAAAACAAAAAAAATGAGATAACGAATCGAACTGTGCAGAATGGAAAATACTGATATATTCATTTTTCTTTCGTAGAAGTTATTCGAACGACGACGTACGACGTACATCGTACGACAACTCTGAAGTATCGAGCAGTAGTGCCGCTCACTGTCTAGGTTTATATTCCATTTACTAACAGTTTACATAGAAAACTGAATACATAGGATTCTTTCTGCACGTCTCTCGCTAGCTTCAGTATAAACGTATTCATGTAAACGCAAACACACGTACTGTACTAACTGCAGTGCAGTCTATAATGTATCTTAATGTAGTATTAATTTAGTTTACTCGTTTCCTGTCTAACTTCAGTTCCAACACGAGTTACGCGTCACCCTTTACTGTTGCTGTCGCTGTTTGTCTTTTAGTATTTTCGTGCAAAAACCACCCTTAAATCTCACTCCTTACATATTTTTCGATAATAATCTTCCGTGTAAGTCACCAATCGTGTTGCTCCTACTATTTATAACATCACCTTATGGGTTGAGACTAGCACATGTAGACGGATGACGCCGTAGTTTGAACAATTTTAATTTATATACAGAAGAGTGTATGAATACCTTGGAATATTTAGCAAGAAATTACCCGTTCGTAAAACAAACAATTACCTTCTGATAAAAAATAATTCCGTTGTAATGTTTTATTTTTTAACCGTATTTACTATGTAGTGCGTGTGCATTTCAAAACGCATAAAAACGATTCAGATTATTCAAAGTCAACATTTTCGATCATAAAGACTACCAAAGTAAAGTTAATATGAAATGAGGTTTTGATAAAATAACAATTTTGAAATTGTCACAAAAAACAGTTGAATACAGAATTTTGCGCCGCATTTGTAATTTGTTTAACAGGGAATGAGTATTTAGTAACATAATATATTATATATCGCATACCGCATTATGTAACCTTCACGCGCGCCTGTGTGTGTGGGTGCAAGCAGAGTAACTGTGGCAGAGTGTTTGTGACGGTGGATGCATTCAAGACACTATACGCGCATCTACATATTATATTCTACATAGAGAACACTTGTCTTGTCGTAGTAAATGTTAGACGTCTCTCAGTAACGGACGATAGTATTGTAGAAACGCGTACAATGTACAACTCAATAGATATAAGTAAAATTAGATTGTAACTTGTGAGAACTATAAGTTCCCCGCAACCTGCCCGCTTGGTATCAAATAGTCGCTCTTAGAGTAATAAAATTAACATAGAGAGAATAATATGAGTCAAAGTAATAACAGTGGATGTTGTGTACCGACACGTACGTATTATGTAAACGAACGCGTGTTGTCGTCCCCCATCATATTGTTAATGTACCATGTCTATCTGTTACCTAGTCTCCTGTCTGAACCGTAGCAATGCATCCATCGATTTATGTTTGTAACGCTTCATATTAAAATAAATGGTGTATGTAGCAAATCGTGTTTTATTTTCTCCCTATCTTATCGTGCTTGGCAGATGGTTCTTGTCTTGGTCAAAAATGAATTGTTTCCGAAATTAAATCCTCCTAATCCAAAATGTAGGTAAGTCAAGGTAGCCTAGCTAGTTATCGACTAATGACCAGGGCAAGCGCAGCGCAGGAAGTTCACTTAAAAGGTGAACGGGCGACCTAATAATGTTAACCCTTTTTTTGTCAAGGGAACATCATTAACACATGCGAGGAAACGCACATACGCGTCGGTGGCACTGAATGTGTTAAATGACTTCAAATGACTCCCGCCCAGGGTAAGGTGAGAGAGAGTGTCAGACTCTTACTGACTAAAAACCCCCGTTCCTTCTCTTTCTCTGGGCCGAGGTCGCGGTGACTCATTGCGCTTAACCCGCAACCCCGGCAGATGTCAACCAGCCTACCTGAAAAACATTGAGGGAGGCCTGTGTTCAGTGGATGTTTTGTGGTTGATATGATGTTTTTTGTGATAAGACTGCAATCGAGCATACGGGTTAGCTGATGGTGTGCAATCGGCTTAACACCGGAGGAGTCACAAGTGCGTTGCCTTCCCCGTGGGGATAAGGGCATCGGAGATTAAGGGAGAGGGGATGAAGGGTTGGAGGGGATACATTAATTAAAATACTGTCATCATTTACTTACGCCTAAAATCTATATATACTTCTAGACTTATAAAGTGGTAAAATTTGTAAGTTTGTATGTAGGGGTAATCTTTGCAACCGCTGGTAGGCTTGCCAAAATTCTTTCACTAATAAATAGCTACAATGTTCCTGAGTGTTAAAGGCTATAAAACATGACGCTACGATTAAATGGAGCCGAGCAACGGGTGACACCGCGTGAGAGTAGCTAGTATTACATATATAGGTACCCTCTGCGACCCTGGTACCCCTTTAACAATAGAAAAGGAATGTCATTTTTATGCGAATAGTAGGCAAACAAGCAGACTGATCGCCTGACGGTAGTGGTGGTGGCAAGCAGTGCCGCCTGTGCAACACAAAACAAAAAGCGTCACAAGCGCGTGGCTTTCTCTGTGGCACTCGAGAACTTTTCTGACGCATCGGCTATCAGAACTTCGAGCGATGTGGCCTGACCATTGGCACTTACTTCAGATTGCAGATTTCAAGTGGTATATCGGTGACTCTGGCTCTTTGGCGAATTTCCGCATGGCGGATTTTATCGCGCAAACAAAATCCAGGCATAGCTCTCCGTTGTTCGCTGGGCGAATTTAAATTTCTCCAACGTAGAAGTAAGGCACCAAGTTTCTGTACCTGTCATTGGCAAAATAAACTGATTGTACATCCTGGTTTTAAAGGCACTGCAGGATTTTTGATGTCTCGTTACTTACCAAACGCTGCCCATCCGTGTTGATTCTGCGGGCGACCTCTTTATCGAAATTGGGCCTATCTAGCTTGATAATATGCCCTAGATGTGTAGGTATAGTGATCTATAACTTCAAGGGTATCGCTGAGAGAGATGGTCATTTGACATTGTTTTCGTCTTGTCCATGTTCATCAAGACCCTAACTGTGGAAACGGTATTGAGGTCGCTAAGCATAGTGTTCAGATCTCCCAAAAACTCTGCCATTACAACTATATCATCGGCAAAACGAAGATGAGTGATATATTCGCCATTGATATGGATGCCGAGTCTGCTCCACCCCGAGAGCTTAAAAATGTCCTCCAATTCGTTTCTAAACAGTTTCGGAGAAAACACGTCTCGCTGCCTCTCTTCGTTATTGGATTGGTTTCGTGCTCTTTTCATGGAGTGGATGCATGGACTTCAAAGTCAAAATAATAATAATTTATTTCAACTAGACCCTTACAGGCACTTTCGAACGTCAAACAAAACTTAGAGATAAAAAGTGTCAGTCTGTCGCTCAGTCTACTTAGTAAAGCTATATTCTGGGATGAGATGAGCATGGTTACGTTTTATCAAACATTTCAGCCGTCATGCATCTACAGTCGACATGGCACCGCTGGAGACTGCACAAATGCTAGAGAAGCAGCACTACCGTTGTCGATTGAATCAAAGGTTTTTCATAGTCCACAAATGCTATCAACAGCGGGCGGTTGTTTTCTTCTGGCTTTTTGTACAATCTGGCGAAATGGGTATGTGGTCTATAGTGATAAAACCTTTTCGGAATCCGACTTGTTTAGGAGGCCGGAAACATCTAACCTGCGTTCAAAACAGTTTGTAATGACCCTCAAGAACAACTCAAATCTGAAGATCACAAATAAATTTATTTTGAACGATATTCGTTGTGTGACAACATCGACATGTAGTTTTTTATGGTTTATATTCGACAAACGAGCAGATGGATTACCTGATGGCAAGAAATCGGTGGTGGGCGCTCGCCATAGGTACACTGGTTTGAGAATTGGGAAGGAAAGGAAGCGGCGTCTGGTAACCTCACTCAACCAACGGACTTTTTATCGTGAGGCCATGGTATCTTTCCGGTTATGTCAGCCCATTTTTGTTAAGTTGGGTTTAAATTATATTTATTGCAATACCTTCAAACTTTGAGGCAGTTTTATGTAGAAGTGGGTGATCTTTCCCAAGTAGCAATCAAGGAAGAAATGAAATCCTGTGCAATTGGCAATTAATTTATTTACACAATAATAGATAACAATGACCACGTGAACATGAATTTCGAAGAAACTTATAAATATTGTAATAATTTGAACTCGTATCATAAGATGAGTGATGCGCAAATAAAATACATTGACTAAACTATATTTTGAGTGTAGTACAGCAGACATTGTCGTAATTTTTGGGAAGAACATTAATAAATAAAAAAGGTGACATGTGAAAACAAGTACATTTTAAGTACTCAGTTGCCGCTGAGGTGTCGATGACTAAGAGAAAACTTAAAATTATACAAGTAAATAAAAATAATATAGCAATTCAACCAGATACAACAACAGAACTAACAAAAAAAAATAGTACCAACTGTCTGCTGTCCTTCACTTATTTCACAGTAATCTATATAGACACGCCCTGCTCTTCATAGCCAAGGAAGGTTATCAACAGAATAGTAGACCCAGTCTGCGATCTATTAGCACATCGTTCGGAATCACCCAATTACTCTAGCCAGCTTAAGGAAGACAGACAACAATAAAACTGTGAGAATTTATAACAAAGCAATAATTTCCGAGTATTAGATATACGTTTAAAAGGTGACACAGCCATTTTGAGTAAGTTCCGGGTAGTTGTTGAGTATTGCCAACTGTGAATAATCCAGTAACACCTCTTTTTTTACAATATTTGCTTGTCTTCCCCTTTGCATCCGACACATACAATTTGAAACTACATTGCGTGTTTAATTCAACACACATCGACACAGATCGACACTTTTTCTTCGTCTCCCTGAAATATATCATAATTGTCGTTCCCCATGGTCCCAAGTGCTGGTCAGACAATCAGCTTAAATAACAATCGGCACCGATCCATGGAAAACGTCATTTTTAACATTGAAGACCTCACTAGGCCCTTTTCATGATCTAACATTGGGATCATAAGGATCATTTTAAAATTATGATATTACCCATCCGCCACGCAGCAACACATAAATTTTATATACAAAACAATAACTATATATCATATAATAATATTAAACTGTACAAATAATAAAATAACGTGTATCTACGTGCAATAATAACATTTACACACTCTCAATAATATACTTTTAAATTTATTTCATATACAACATTTTAAGACAAATATGATGATAATAATAATATGACAAGATTGAAATACAAAAGGAACGTTCAACGTTTGGCAAATACAATATTATATCAAGACGGAAGCGAGATATTTATAGAAGAAATCACGAAGGCGATTAATTAAATACTAGACACACTTTAGTAAATAGTAACCCCAATAGTAGCGCCATCTATAGTTTATTTATCACTAAGTATTTAGATAAGTTGCCGCTTTATACTTTAGCTTTATGACTAAGTTTATTGATTAAATACTTTACCCACACGACACACGGTGTGCCCGTACGACTGCGTACACACACGCATTTTGCACGAACACGCCCCATAGCCCGCAATTAAAAATGTCAATATACTACTGTACGGTAATGAGATGATGATGATGATGTAAATTGTCTTAATATTAATTAATATATCTATCCATTGCAGAAATACATAAATATGAGATGGATATTGAAAACTAGCATTATGTTTGTGTAACTTTTCCAATGTAGGTCTATCTACATGAAATGCTATCTTCAAGCTACAAAATGCTTAGGTAGTGGTATACTCATACTTCAATTTATATGCCATCGTATTATTAACTCGATATATTAATTTAACAGGCTATTTATTTAAGGGCCAAGTAGCTACTGCGAGTGGGCTTTATGTTAATGCGACCGACACGTGACCGTGTTTAGTTTCCTGATGGGTCGGCTAACTGGGCACAGGCCAATCGGAGCGTCAAACGTCAAAAACATGTCGATCGTGGCAACGTAAAGCACACTCGCAATAGGCACTTCTAGATTTCAACTTTTATCTGTAAACCTTACAATACTTTTACTTGCATAATTTGAAACTTGTATTTTAAATGTATAATATGCTGTGATGGGAACAAAACTCGAATAAAGCTATTACCTCAATTAATATCCTCTGAGTAAGGACAGTAAAGACTGAATCTATCGTGTGAAGATTAATTGGCGGGATATTGTATTAATGGCCTAAATTAGTAAAAGATTTTGATCAAAATGTCTGGATCTTAAAATCTTTTCAATTCAAGAAGGTTATTAATTTGGGAGTAATAGTGCTTAGACAGACGAAGGCCTGTGCCTGCGACAGACGTGCGGCAGCTCCCAGCAAGAGGGCGCGGAGGGTGGGCGGGCCTCTGAGAGGGCGGAGGGCTGCGCGTGCTATCGGCGCTGTTTGAGCGCGATGAGCTCGTCGAGCTGTGCCTTGTAGAGCTGGGTGACGTCCTGCAGGTCCAGGCGCAGCTCGGCCATCTGTTCCTCCTTCTCGCCGTACATCTGCAGCAACGCGTCGTACTGTTCCTGCACCGACTGGAAGCGGAGTTTGATATATATTACGGCATCATAGAAACATAGCTTTGACAAATGTAGTTAAACTTGAAAACTATTTTTAACTTACAAGACTTTAGGATTTCAAAGCATAATGATGAGGTTGATGAATAATGAAATAAAAACACCTCATTCGTTATTAAAATCATTAGAATAACAGAAACTGATAATAAACTAAAACTTTGACTTGAAATGAAGTTGTAAAATTTTCTTGTTCTTTATAATTTTTATGACCATTAAATCATTTACTTATTCCGCCACGCACTAATTTGGCGCGGCAGTGGAGCTTCGTTCCAGAGTGTGCGCCAATTGAGTCGCCCACACAGAGGTTCCAGTTTGACATGCGATCCACATGACCATGGATTGCTCGATGGCCAAATGCAAATTCTGGCAGGAGACGTTTGTCTCTCCAGGATGGGAAGGAGTTGCTTAAACGCAGCTCAGCAGGAGTTGCTGTTCTAAATTGGGAGCCAAGTGGCGGAAGTGCTCCATGAACTTTTTCCTCCTACTTTTATTCGGGATCCATCTGGAGGTGGCGCGTTTCGTCGGCCGTAAAAACAAATGGCCTCGGACTTGTGGAGCGCCACCTCGAGTCCCAACTGCCGGATCCTTGCAACGACTGTCGCGACCACTTGTAACATCAGGTTGGCTGCCGTCTGATGCGACCTCCCGTTGGTCAGCATCGACGTCCACCGCTAGGGATGACGGTACGCGTAGCAATCAATCGTTATTGATGTCACACAGAAGCGGACCCAAGACCGATTTCTGTGGAATTCCAAACAGGTCGTCCGCCATGTGTAGGTGTGTCTAGTAAAGCTAAGAGTGCAGCGAGTATACCTGCATGTCGTCGAGCGCGGCCTGGCAGCGCGCGAGCTCGGCGGCGAGCTGGTCGCGCTGCCCGCGCAGCGAGTGCGGTGTACCTGCATGTCGTCGAGCGCGGCCTGGCAGCGCGCGAGCTCGGCGGCGAGCTGGTCGCGCTGCCCGCGCAGCGAGTGCGGTGTACCTGCATGTCGTCGAGCGCGGCCTGGCAGCGCGCGAGCTCGGCGGCGAGCTGGTCGCGCTGCCCGCGCAGCGAGTGCGGTGTACCTGCATGTCGTCGAGCGCGGCCTGGCAGCGCGCGAGCTCGGCGGCGAGCTGGTCGCGCTGCCCGCGCAGCGAGTGCGGTGTACCTGCATGTCGTCGAGCGCGGCCTGGCAGCGCGCGAGCTCGGCGGCGAGCTGGTCGCGCTGCCCGCGCAGCGAGTGCGGTGTACCTGCATGTCGTCGAGCGCGGCCTGGCAGCGCGCGAGCTCGGCGGCGAGCTGGTCGCGCTGCCCGCGCAGCGAGTGCGGTGTACCTGCATGTCGTCGAGCGCGGCCTGGCAGCGCGCGAGCTCGGCGGCGAGCTGGTCGCGCTGCCCGCGCAGCGAGTGCGGTGTACCTGCATGTCGTCGAGCGCGGCCTGGCAGCGCGCGAGCTCGGCGGCGAGCTGGTCGCGCTGCCCGCGCAGCGAGTGCGGTGTACCTGCATGTCGTCGAGCGCGGCCTGGCAGCGCGCGAGCTCGGCGGCGAGCTGGTCGCGCTGCCCGCGCAGCGAGTGCGGTGTACCTGCATGTCGTCGAGCGCGGCCTGGCAGCGCGCGAGCTCGGCGGCGAGCTGGTCGCGCTGCCCGCGCAGCGAGTGCGGTGTACCTGCATGTCGTCGAGCGCGGCCTGGCAGCGCGCGAGCTCGGCGGCGAGCTGGTCGCGCTGCCCGCGCAGCGAGTGCGGTGTACCTGCATGTCGTCGAGCGCGGCCTGGCAGCGCGCGAGCTCGGCGGCGAGCTGGTCGCGCTGCCCGCGCAGCGAGTGCGGTGTACCTGCATGTCGTCGAGCGCGGCCTGGCAGCGCGCGAGCTCGGCGGCGAGCTGGTCGCGCTGCCCGCGCAGCGAGTGCGGTGTACCTGCATGTCGTCGAGCGCGGCCTGGCAGCGCGCGAGCTCGGCGGCGAGCTGGTCGCGCTGCCCGCGCAGCGAGTGCGGTGTACCTGCATGTCGTCGAGCGCGGCCTGGCAGCGCGCGAGCTCGGCGGCGAGCTGGTCGCGCTGCCCGCGCAGCGAGTGCGGTGTACCTGCATGTCGTCGAGCGCGGCCTGGCAGCGCGCGAGCTCGGCGGCGAGCTGGTCGCGCTGCCCGCGCAGCGAGTGCGGTGTACCTGCATGTCGTCGAGCGCGGCCTGGCAGCGCGCGAGCTCGGCGGCGAGCTGGTCGCGCTGCCCGCGCAGCGAGTGCGGTGTACCTGCATGTCGTCGAGCGCGGCCTGGCAGCGCGCGAGCTCGGCGGCGAGCTGGTCGCGCTGCCCGCGCAGCGAGTGCGGTGTACCTGCATGTCGTCGAGCGCGGCCTGGCAGCGCGCGAGCTCGGCGGCGAGCTGGTCGCGCTGCCCGCGCAGCGAGTGCGGTGTACCTGCATGTCGTCGAGCGCGGCCTGGCAGCGCGCGAGCTCGGCGGCGAGCTGGTCGCGCTGCCCGCGCAGCGAGTGCGGTGTACCTGCATGTCGTCGAGCGCGGCCTGGCAGCGCGCGAGCTCGGCGGCGAGCTGGTCGCGCTGCCCGCGCAGCGAGTCGCGGTGCGCGACCAGCGCGCGGACCTCGCCGTCGCGCCGTCGCAGCGCGCTCAGCGCGTCCTCCACGCACAGCGCGCTCGCGCTCACGCCGCGTGACCCCACGCCCAGACCCATGCCCGACTCCTCCTGCAACAACAACGGACATACTGCTACACATCTAACTAATGAGGTACTTCTAATTTTGGTATTGAAATATTAGTGGAAGTCCAAGGAAGGTTTAAAAATTCAGAAAACATTAGTTAATATTAGAGCAGAACACATATAAATTATAATTTATCGTACGTACAGAATGCCAGAAAGAAGTCGACAGAGAGTCCGAGGTAATGGACTGCGCGGGGGACACCTCGCCACCACGACTTGACTGCTCCTGGAAAGTAAAACACTTATATTTAATAAATAATACACTACACTTACATTTTACATCTATCGTTTTATAGAATACATAAAACTTCGTATTCCCGGAACCTTTCAACTCCTGGTGTCGCGGGTATCTATGGGCGGCACTGATCGCTTTCCATTAAGTAATACGCCTGATAGTTGATATAAAAACCATTTTCTTTTCTAAGTTTATATTTAAATTATTTTTGTCAGACCATGCAAAATTTCAATGTCATATTTATTACATTTTTATAAGTTCTGGAATTATCACACTTAATTACTAGGTTATTTATAGAAACCAAAAAAGGGCCTAAGGTCGCTATCCTGAGGAACGCCATATTTAATTACCATGCCCTCGAAACCATATTTCTTCTCATAAGTTCGTTTTAAGGCCATGTTGATGGTCATGGCCATGAGTTCGACAAATTGTCTTCTGGACGTCAAGTAAGATTGAATGAGATCAAGTCATATTTCCGATAACACTACATCTTACTACTTTACTTATTAATCAAAGGCTTTAGTTTAATCCATAAAAACATCAAACAGGTTTTCCTTACAATTTAGCTTGTCGTATTTTGTCTTAAAACAAGCCCATACTAAGATATAAGGAGTTAAAGTTTAAGATTGGGAGCTAGTTTGTCCGCCGTGTAATCCCGTCCAGAAGTACCTGCAGCGTGTCGGGGCGGTGTCGCTCAGCCCGCAGCGCGTCGGCCTGCTCCTGCAGCTGCTGCTCCAGCTGCTGCAGGCGCTGCTGGAGCTGCTCCATCTGCTGCTTGTGGGAGGACCGTTCTGTCTCCAGCTCCTCGTTTTTCCTGTACATTATACATATTATTTTAAAAAACGAAATGACCTTTGGCTTTTGTTAATTTTTTCTTACATAATGGTAAAAAATGAACTGTATTTAATTATACTTTAAACCTTCTTGTTAGAATTTATAAACGTATCACAATTGTCTATGTAGATGTCACTGTCAAGCTTATGTTAACTTGACGTTTTTTTTATGCGCTCTTCTCGTCTAGCGAGCCTGTGCTGTAAAGCGTTTCTAAAAGGTTATCCCATTATACTTTTAACATCCTGCATCGTTGTTTACTTTTATGCCTATAAACCCATCACTTCTCGTTGCTTCATATTAATACTTTATTGTTTAACGGAATTTAACGCTCAAGTAGGTACTTACCTTTTTTATTTGTTTTTGCTGGACGTTTCGACACAATTACTCGTGCCATGTCAGTCTGCTTATGTCTATGGCAAGTGTAACCCGAGGGATTGTGGTTATTAGAAAAGATTTTATAAGTGTGGATGTATGATTAGCTCACTTGTCGATGAGTTCCTGCAGCTGGTGTATCTGCTGTTCCAGCATGAGGTTCCTGTCGGCGGCGTCGTGCAGCTGTCGCGCGTGTTGCTGTGCGTGCAGGTCGAGGTGCGCGAGGCGCTCCAGCAGGGCGGCGCTGTGCAAGCGGGACGCCTGCTCGCGCTCCGCCGCCAGGGACAGCGCGCGCTCCGCCTCCTCTGCAGGGGGGGGGGGAGTCAGTCAACGAGTTAAGAGGAAGGAAATGATTAGATAAGTGTATACAGACCGAGTTGAAGAGCGCGCTGGCGCAGTGCATGTGCATGTGCCCGTTCCCGGTCGAGCGCGGCGGCCTGCAGCTGCGCCAGCTGGCTCAGTACGGCGCCGGCTCCCCCCTCCCCCCCGCCCCCGCTGCAGCTGCTCTCCAAAGCTGTACAAGCTTCCCGAGCCTCCTGTAGCTCACGACGTAAAGCCTCCTCCCGCGCTACCCACTTCTTCTCCTCTGTAACATCACACATCATTCATCAATATCACGTATATTATAAAAGAATACAAGTATAAATACATATGTATGAATATTATAAGCTAAAATATAAAGACGGGTATTCTGTTATACATATTTTTGCTTCAAATTTAACATGAACATTTCGGTTGGTTCAAGACACGCGTTATAGGCAATTATAGTGTTTGTATGTCATCATAATGAAGGTATCAGAATAACAAGTCAAAAGCAATAAAAGAATTGCACGAACCATTCCTCCTGTCCTCCCTAAGCTGGGCGAGCTCAGCCCGCAGCGCGCGCAGGTCGTGGTCGGCGCGCTGCGCAGTTTCGTGCGCGTGTTGCGCGGCGGCGGCGCGGCGCGCCAGGTCGGCGCTGCCCCGCTGCAGCTCGGCCAGCTCGCGCCGCGCGCCCTCCAGCGACGCGCGGCTGCCTTCCAGCTTCTGCTGCGTGTCGTCTAGCTGACTCCGCGTCTACACGACAACACCTTTGTCTCATCTTTATATTCACATCACCTCGATACCAATGACTCCACGTTATTTGTGGAGAGAAAATTATCAAATGACTTTCCTCGCCCTGTGTATGGCGCGAGGAAATGTCAAAATCTTATTACTAAAAACACCCCCGTTCCTTCTCTTGCCCCAAGCCAAGGCCACGGTACCTTATTGCGGGACCCCAGGTACACATTGACCATGTTAGGTTCCATCTAGTGTATTGGCTCTTTGAGGCGCGAGCCTCCTAATACTTTAGGATTTTGAAGATTAATCAATTACAACTAAGTAAAAATTCTAAGAAGCTCTTTCTTAATTTTTATAGGGCAATGCTGCAAATGGGCTTATGGATAACCTGATAGCAAGCAATCTTAGACACCTTACTAGAGTTGCAAGAACATTGCCAGCCGTTTATGGATTAGATCATCAGGGCATTGAAAATAGAGGAGGAGGATTGGGCCTCCGAAACAACGTAAGCATTGTTTCACGCTGGTTTCTATAAGGACATAGTATCACTCCAGTGGAGCCAACCCACTTGTACCCACTGAACTATAGGTCTACCACGCTTAATATAGTTATTCAAAATAGAAAACAATTCAGAATGTAGTAGAAGCAAGTAAAAAATTTTACCCTGAAGAAATATCAACAGCCTTACATGTATGTTTACGACATAACATTCTGTTAGTTGTCGCGCACTGCGACGCGTTTCACAGCTGATAACGAGTCGCGGCGCGATAAGCTACAGCGCACAATGGATAGTTTATACAAACATACATAGTTATATCTTCTTAACTGTCTGGTGGTTGCAAAACCTCATTAGTTTAATGTAAGCATAGCAAACAACACACACCTCCATAAGTTCAGTCTCAAGTTTCTTGTTGGCAGTGGTGAGCCGGTAAACAGCTTCAATCTGGCTGACTTCCAGCTCCTCCTTAGCTGCTATAGACCGCTTCATTCTGTCTAACTCCGCTGATTGCTCTGCTATTTTATCTCTGGAAATTTTAAAAAGAATATTAAATAAATACATTATGTAACTATTTTCAGATATTTAATACCTTTATGAATAAATATTTAAGAAAAAAGAAAACCATTATTAGCCAGAGGATATCTAATACGTTTACGACAATTTTTCGTGTATTATATTCTTATTTCTCATGCTTGCACAGTTTAGTCAAAACATAGCAAGGACTACTTAAATTTTTTCTTAATTCAACACATTATGTGAAGTTAATATCATCTTTTGCTTGGGCTAAAGCATTTATGTTATACATTCTATAAACCAGCCTCACCTCAATCCCTTGATAACCTGTTCATTGTCCTTCTCCTTGGCTCTCAGCTTCTTGATAATGTTAGAATGCTGCAGCTGCTGGCGCGCCAGTTTCTCGCCCTCCTCCTGCAACTGGGCTATCACCTCATCTTTCTCTTTCAGCGTGTTCTCCAACTCAGAGGAGTTCTTGCGTGAAGACGATTCAGACTTCACCTGATCCAGTTGTTTACGCAGCTGATCCTACAGGATTATGTTAATAAATATAATGCATGAATAATGAGATTTGAAGCCGCTATCATATGCATGACTCACAATTGCAGTTATACTTTATCTTTAAACCATTGTAATATGTGTTTAAAAGCTTTGTTTTGTTTCAACACACATTATTATGGTACACAATATAGATTTTATTATTCAGAAATCTGTTGTTATCAATTTTATCACTATCATGAATTAATAAGTTATCGATTCAAGGTTTCACAGCCACTGAAGAACAAAGTTAAAAATTAATATAATTTGTAGAACCATATATAATAATAGTGAAATAAAGACTCAAACCTTTTCCCTGATTGCTTGTTGAAACTTCTTCTCCAGAGCTGACATTCTCTGTGTGTAATCTTCAGTGATAGTATTAATATCACCACCCTCATGCTTGGATATCAATGACTCCACTTGGCTCTTCAAGTCAGCATTATTTTCTGCTAAGTCTGCATTATTCCTACTCATTTCCAACAGTCTGTTTTCTCTTGCTTCTAATAACTCTGCCATTTCACAAAGTCTCCTCATCAGTCTCTCATTCTCTGAACCCTGGCTCTCATCACTTGTGTTACTCTGCACAGATGCCTCAGACAGCTCTCGGTTATGGCCCCTTATCTTAGTAGCTAAAGATTTACCTAATACTAGATCCACCAAGTTGGGTGAAGTTGTGCCATCAAACTTTGACTGTTTAAAAGCATATTTGGCGGGACTATTCCTAAAGCCATGACCATCACCATTGGGACTAGGAATTATTTCAATATCTGAAGATGTAGCTGTTTCTAGCTCATCTCCAGATGTGTGACCTGATGTCCGGTCTGATCCTATCTTGACCAAGTCACTTTTACTATCAGAACTTATTGGAGAAGTTCTTTCCTTAACACTACCATCTTTCTGTGAAGAGCTACTGCTAGATTCATTGCACTGCTGCTTCTCAACATTAACAAATGCAGAACTTTCTGATCTCAGCATTTCACTAGAGACATTCACATTGTAGAATGATGATGAGTCACTCAACTTCTCAATGAGAACATCTTCCTGTTCCTTCTTCTGGTCTTCTGTAGTCATGTCCAAGTTAATACTATCACCATCAGCATTTAAAGTTCTATCTGACCAAGAGCCGTCATTGGAAGAGTTCTCACTTACTTGCATTCTTTGTGGGACCAATGCTTGCTCTAAATGCATTAACTCTTTTTCCACAACTTTTCTATTTGAATCTGTTTTAATTACTTTGGCAAAGGGGCTTACCGACTTATCATCAGTGTCTAGCACAGTGGGTGCTGTGCACTCAGATATTGAGTTATAGGACATGGTGTCTTCATCATCATCAGCTACTAGGCTGACACTGTCAGCAGTATCTGCCTTTTCAGTCTTATCACCAATTGGAGTAGACTTTTTGTCACTGTTATCTCCAGGAGAAACACAAAGAGAAGATGAATTGCTATTTTTTTCACTAGAATAACTATCAAAACCAAGGCACTCTATTGAACTAGGACTCACCAGACTATCCGGCAATATTTCTACAGACTCCGAGTTATATTTTTGACCAGTGCTACTGCTGTGAGATATGGAATGCACAGAAGCCTCTGAGTCAGGTGTAGTCTTTAAACTCTGGGACAAGACTTCTACAGAATCAGAACTATTCCTGCTTGACACAAGTGACAATCTATGTGACTTTGCTGAATCACGTCTGTCATCAACCTTTGGGAGATCATCTTTCAGAGATTTGGTTATTCTGTGATCTAATGCTTCACTGTCAGACATAATAAGCTGGCTTTTGGAGAATAAGTCGTCATGGCTACCATATTTACTGTCAGCAATAACATTCATAGACTTAGCTTTTGGCGGCCTCACGATTGTGGATTCCTCATCCTTAGGTTGCTCGAAGAAAGACCCCGCAAATGAGCCCCAAATGCTCTGTGACGTAGACTTGGATGGGCTCTCTGTAACGACGGGCTGATCTTTGATAGGAGTATTCCGCTCGCTCTCCGCACTCACTGTCAAACCCCACGACGAGAAGAAATCTGAGTTGTCTTTTTGTGGAGTGTTGCTGCGACCCGGAGACGACTTGGCGCTGGTCTGGGGCGTCGCCTCTTCTTCTGGTTCATCTCCACTTTCATCCTGGATGTCGAGCGCCTTGTCAATAGTTTTCTGGGCTTCTTTCAACGCATTCTTAGCAAGGCTCGTAAGGCCTGACGTGTCGAACCAATTCATGGTGTCGGTACATTAGACAAAACAAAGAAGCAATAGCAGGTTTTTCATAACATTGAGTAACGTTTAAGTATCACCCATAAATCCGATTCAATAACGTAATTGTTATGAGATTAACCATGGAAATACACTTCAACTAATCACAACAAACCAGGTGACGTTTCCATTTTGTTTATGTATTTCACCAAAGAATAAGCAATTGTCAAATTATATAAATGTTTTTTATTAGCAAATGTTTTGCTAGTTTAGGTGGTAGGAAATTTAACAAATTAAACAATAATTTTCAAGTCAGACGATTGCCACGAAAAGTATGTGCACGACTGATTTGACCGAATTTGACGTTTGATAATGGCAAAAAAGAACATCATTTGACTTTGGCAGTGGTTTAGATAAAGAGCCGGTTTTTCGACTGTTTCGCCATAGCTCCAGTGGCGCAATTGGTTAGCGCACGGTACTTATAAGACAGTAGACGTGTGAGTAATGCCGGGGTTGTGAGTTCGAGCCTCACCTGGAGCATATTTTTTTTGTTGCATTCTAGTTATTCTTAGTTGTTAGAAATTTCAAATTTTATACCATGTCGCTTTTTAATATTTTATACATGTTTTGTTTTGTTTGTGATACAATAATTTACTTTTGTTTAGTCATAAAATTAAGCACGATAAAATAATAAATCTATAGGTACTTCTTAAATCTGTAGAGAGGTCAATTCTGTAGGTACATGAAATATATTTGCAAAATAACTACCAGGGGGTGATAAGTGATCAGGTCAGTAAAATTTTTGTCTGTCTGTCTATATGTTCCTTATGGAAACAAAAACTACTCGACGGATTTTAACAAAACTTGGTACAATTATTCGTAATAAAAATAAAGTTAGAATTACGATTTATTAGTTATTACATTTTAGCAGCAAGCATGTCTATATAACCGTAAATCTTCCAGCATATATATGTACTTTTTTCTCAACCCTAACAGTGTCGCCACCTTAGGATTTAATAAAACAATATTGTAAAGTATTATATATAGTTTATTATCTTAAAATAACTACATAATTATTTACATAATATAGTAACAAATGATGAATAAACATAGGAGTAATGCTTTATTTGGAAAACTATTTTTAATAAACACTAAAACTTATGTAGATGAAAATAACTACGTATACTATAATAGTAAATGCGAAAAAACTGATATTTTCGTTTAAATGAAAGCTATCAGGACGATTTTTACATCATTTAATTTGGCAAAGTGTGATAAAATACATTGTTACTGTATTGCAATAAGTGTACAATTAAAAATATCATTGGATGTAAGTGTTGATCGGCAGATTTGTTTAAATTATTTAAATTTAAATAAAAACTTTATTATTGTTGGATGTTGATATTTACAATACAACTTTGATGCAATCAATAAAACAAGCAAACTACTGGCCATTAATTTTGATATTTTATTTTTTGATAACACCATCTAGAAAACAAAATTAAATAAGGTTTGGTTGATGAAGAAAACTAAATCAATGGAAAGTTTTCTCAAATTATAGTTTCAATAACAGTAACCATGTTATCTATTCTTGTAATTATGATAAAAATAAATTAAAAAATAGGCTACAATATTTTTCATGTTCAGAGCAACTTCGTAATTTATGTGAATAGCTTAATTATTTCAGATATGATATTTTTAAATTCGTTTATATATGACAATGTAATAATAGTAAATAAGCTTATTTAAAATATGAAGTTCAATGCTTTTCCAAACAGAAGAACCAATTAAAATAGAAAAAAGGAACTGCCAAGATATCTTTAATGAATTTCATATCACAAAGTTAGTTAATTATAATAATCTATTTTAATTTATAATAAATACATAATAAGTACTAAGACTGCACACAGGGATTTCTGAACTAAAAGTATGGTATATAAACTTTGTAGAGGTAATGCGGTACCCATGGGAACAAATGGTGTCGAAACTTACGAAATAAATAAAAAGATATTAAAATAATGTTATATATTATGACGCTGACAACTTTTATGGGCAAAAATCACAAACAAATACATATAAGAATTAATGTTTTCCAGTAACAATAGTTGCAATGACTAATATGTATAAGTTAAGTTGCACATTGTAAATAAATATTTTTTTCAATTTTAATGGCTAAGCTAAGGCTTGCCTACTCAGTTACCAATAGTAGAACATAATCACTGACATATCTTGTCTTCTGTCATCAAATCATCAACAATCCATGTGCCTGGATCAACTTATTATTTTTTACTTCACCATTTCTATCACACATCCTCTTCAAAATGATATAAAGAAAAATCTTATTCTTGGAAAAACAATTTTACCAGTGGGCGAAATAAATTTCGCTACCACTTCAGCTTTCCAGAGTATAGGATAGGATAGCCAAAGTTTTTCATAATTATTTACATAGTCCAACATACATACATAGCCAAAGTTTTTCAGAGGATGTGCGATATATGATTGTGTACAATTATATTGAAATTAAATAACATTAACATAATTATATAACTTATATTACACTACTCCCGTATTACCGGTAGTGGGAGGTGCAGGTTGTGAGAACATGAAGGTGCTAGCATTCTGCAATAATTGCTTCTTCACGAACTCCGTAGTGGCAGACTTAAGGTTCTCCTTGGCTCCGAACTTGCACTTGATGTAACCATAGAGGTTGGCTCCCGTCAGGGTTAGTGCGATGAGGACCAGCAGCTGAGGATCAATGCAAATTCCATTACAACAAGACGCAAGTACAAGTACTTGTTGTAATTCCCTTGGTGTAATGTTGATGGGTTGTGCTGATTGCTTACCATCAGGAAAACCGTCTGCTCGTTTGCAGACTTATGACATGAAAAAAGGAAAACTTTGCCAATGTTATTTATATTTTGTTATAATAGAGAGGAGGTCAGAAGCAAGTTCAATGTGGCTGTCGGTTTTACACCAAGGGTCGGCTCTCAGCCCTTACCTCTTCCTGATAATAATGGACGCTCTGACGTCGGACATTCAGGAAGAGGCTCCCTGGTGTATGCTGTTTGCCGATGATATTGTGCTGGTTGCCGAGAGTGCCCTAGAGGTCCAGAGCAGATTGGAGGTGTGGTGGCAAAGACTGGAGAGTGTTGGCCTAAAATTGAGCAGAACTAAAACAGAGTACTTGTTCTGCGATTTTGGCGGTCTCTCTAGTTCTGTGCCCATAGCTCTCGCCGGAACGCCCATACCAACCTGTTCTGATTTTCGGTACCTTGGCTCGCTTATCCAAGGAAATGGTGAGATAGACCGAGACGTGGCACATCGGATCAACTCAGGATGGATGAAATGGCGACAGGTCACTGGAACAACTTGCGACCCACGGATGCCCCTCAGGTTGAAGGGTAAAATCTACAAGTCAGTGATAAGGCCTGTCCTACTGTATGGGTCAGAATGTTGGGCTCTGAAAAAGACGGATGAAAAGCGATTGCATGTAGCAGAGATGAGAATGCTGAGATGGATGTGTGGTGTGACGAGATTGGATAAAGTGAGAAATGAGTATATTAGAGGATGTTTGAAAGTGGCGCCAGTGACTGAAAAGTTGAAAGGGAACCGTTTGTCTTGGTATGGCCATGTGAAAAGGAGGGATGAAAAGCATGTTACAAAAAAAGTCATGAGTATAAATGTGGATGGATGGAGAGGCAGGGGGAGACCAAAGAAAATATGGATGGATTGTGTGAGAAGTGATATGGAAGACAGAGGAGTTAGCGATAGCGTGACGAGTGACAGGACAGAATGGAAGAAAAAAACATATTGCGCCGACCCCAAATAAAACGGGACAAGGGCAGGAAGATGATGAGAGAGGAGGTCAGAGATCCCTATAATAATAATACATGCCTCTCTCAACCAACGGTTAATAATGAACAAAGAATAAATTAAAACAAGAACATATTTCTATTAATTCATGTGATAAAATTCAAATTAGATTTGTTCTTGTTAATTTTTCAGAAATAAGTAAGATCTTTGTCGTGATATATGACGTCATAATGTTGTTACAATATTATGACGTCATATAATAAGATTTCTTACAAAATTCCTACAAAAATATCGCTTTTGACATTTTTTATCGAAAAATATTGACACAATCATGGATTTTTTCCTGTTTTGTGGGTTTTTTTTGTGAGGGGAAAATCATCAATGGCTTCTGGGAGTATCAGACTCTTACTGACTAAAAACCCCCCTGTTCCTTCTCCTGCTCTGGGCCGAGGTCGCGGTGCCTCATTGCGCTTACCCGGAAACCCCGGCTGAACATCAGCCCTATAGGGCCCTGTCTGTGGTGGTCTAATGGCTCTTTGAGGCGCGCGCGGAACGTTACGCGCCGTACGCTCGGGCCTGGTTCTGGTCGGGCGGCGAGCTGCCCTTACTCGCCGACCGCAGGCCCGTGCTTACGGTGGCCGGAGATCATCTCTCGATCCCCGATGCCTGGAATGTCGCTTATTGCGGCGGCTGGGGCGTGAAGAGGTGGATTGCTCCCTTACGCGAGCTGCCTCCCTCTTTGCGAGCATAACTGCTTCACAGAAGGAGGAGACGGCGTTCCTCTCACTCCGCACCATGGCCTCGACTAAGGTCGCCGCCGCCGATCATTTCCCTGAGGACACGACGGTGCTCAGCCCAGGCAGAGCATACCGCCACCGTATCCTCTAAGTGGTCCTCGCAATGACGACACTCGGGCGTTTCCTCCCGCTGGATCCGAAAGAGGAACCTACCGAAACTGCCGTGCCCGGTAAGGACCTGCGTTAGGCGAAAGGTGAGGACGCCGTGGCGTCTCTCAAGCCACTCCTCAAAGAGGGGTCTTACCGCTGTTATAATATCGCACCCAGACCCGGAACAATTTGTGGATAACACAGAGTTGTTCCATGCAGGCATCAAACCCGAGACACGTTGTGCGGCAACCAGCTGACCAGCCACTGCGTTAACCGTGCAGTCATTTGATTAAAAGTATGTGACTCATTGAAAACTACCTTATTCTGGATTTTAGTGAATTTACACTTGTATAACCATTGTATACATTGGATTTTTTTTATGTAATAGATCGGCAAACGAGCTGACGAATTACCTGATGGTAAGTAATCAGCGCCGCCCATAGGCACCAGCAACGGAGTAGTTACGAGTGCGTTGCCGACCTTTTAGGGATTAGGGATTTGGAGATTTACGGATTGAGGAGGGAATAGGGGGTGGGGAAGGATTGGGCCTCCGGTAACCTCACTCACACGGCGAAACACAACGCTGTGGTTGTTTCACGCCGGTTTTCTGTGAGGCCGTGGTATCACTCCGGTCGAGCCGACCCATTCGTGCCGAAGCATGGCTCTCCCAGAGTTTTATAATTAGAATCATTGTCGGACTTTAAAGAATTAGTTTAACAACCTTTAGTTGTGTTAAAAATATAATTCGTGAGTGGTTTCAACCAGCATTATTTGTTAATCATCACAGTTCATCAATGCTGTTAATGACTAAGCCATGTAGTACAATCCTTATCTGATAAAAGCATTAAAATTGGTGTTTTTAGTATTTTTTCTTGGTGAAAATTCGACTTGTCGCTGTGGTAATATTGAACACTACACTTTACATGAAGATGAACCATTTTACCAAAATATGAAAATATCGCGCGCGGATTGTGGCGCGAAACGGTAGACCGTTAAACAGTAGGTACCGCGTCGGCCACGTAAGGACCGCGCACCGCCCGCGCAACGCCCGCGCATGCGCCCTGTGCCCGCGCCGCGTTACCGCGCTCCCGCCACTCAGGAGTCAGTCGAGTCGCGCGCCCGCTTCTAACGCCCGGAACAGTTATCTTCCGCGGATCTCGCTCGTTCCCGCCAAAATCTTGTAAAATAGTATCTATATTTGCTTTGTTGTGTTTGATACGTCCAATGTGTATGTGTATGACAGTCTCCTAATAAACGTTACATAATATTATACGTAATTCGTGTGCATTATTGTGTTTCACCTTAGCTAAGAATAACACACAAACTCCATTTCCCGCCAATGTAAAAGTGACGCCCAACTCGCGGCCCGACGTTAGTTTATCGTCGGCAGTAAAACGAACCCAGTGAAGTGTTATATATTCAGTGATTATAAAGACTTAATCATGCCACGAATTACGCGAGCAACCCGAGCACAAATCGAACACAAGGCGGAGGAGCAAGGAAGTGTCGGTTACTCCGATTCAGACTGCGACTCAGTGGTGGAGCCGCGCGCCCGTGGCGGCGCCGCTACAACCCGGACACGCGACGCATAAGACGCGGCTGAGGAGACGCGCGCCCAGGGGGGCGCCGCCCTCGGCCACACACACCCTTGGTGGGGTCCGGACCGGCGCGCCCACCACCGCGTTTATCATCGATGCAGTCGAAGAGGTGCGCGCCCAGAGGGGCGCCGCTCTCGACCACACGCTCGGTGGGCTCCGGACCGGCGCGCCCGCCACAGCGTTTATCATCGATGCAGTCGAAGAGGTGCGCGCCCAGAGGGGCGCCGCTCTCGACCACACGCTCGGTGGGCCCCGGACCGGCGCGCCCGCCACAGCCGTCATCATACGACGCGGCCGAGGAGGTGCGCGCCCAGGGGGGCGCCGCTCTCGACCACACGCTCGGTGGGCCCCGGACCGGCGCGCCCGCCACAGCGTTTATCATCGATGCAGTCGAAGAGGTGCGCGCCCAGGGGGGCGCCGCTCTCGACCACACGCTCGGTGGGCCCCGGACCGGCGCGCCCGCCACAGCGTTTATCATCGGTGCAGTCGAAGAGGTGCGCGCCCAGAGGGGCGCCGCTCTCGACCACACGCTCGGTGGGCCCCGGACCGGCGCGCCTGCCACAGCATCATACGACGCGGCCGAGGAGACGCGCGCCCGGAGGGGCGCCGCTCTCGACCACACGCTCGGTGGGGGCCAGACGCGCTAGCGCGCCTGCGCGCTACCTACGGCGTGCGAAAGCCCGCGCATATGATACTGCGCGAGGTATTTCAGTGTGAACAACGTGAGTGCGAACGTGCTGAAGTTTTGTGTCAAAGGTACGATGTATACTTATACAGTTAGGTACCCTATTCTGTGCCGAACGAGATAATGGTAGACATATAGTGTACGGTTTATTACACCGGCGTATAAGAAAACGGGTGTCACGAGACACCATCACCGACATTGAACATCTGTTAGAGCGAGCGAGACTCACAGAAGATTCGATAACTGAGCTAAAAAACTCAAACGTTCCCGCGAACAATACGAACATACCTACTGTTCCCGATCGGAGTATTACTACGAGTTCGAACGCAACCACTAGTCCCAAACTCACCTCTAACTCGAACGACTCGTCTAAGCGAAATCGTGTTCGGTGGGTGGTATTCACGTAGATCCAGGCAAGACCGCGGCAATCGCGAATATACCTACACCGCGCAACGGCTGGTTCAGGCGTTTTATCCCTGGTTACGCAGAGGTCGCCAAACCATTGACAGCGCTGGTGAAAAAGGTAAGTGTATGGAAATGGGGCCCGGACCAGCAAGCTGCTTTCGAGAAGATCAAGCACCTGCTGGTATTGGCGCCGATCCTGCGTCAGGCTGATGCGACGTTGCCTTTCGTCCTCAGGACCGACAGCAGTGGAATACGCTTTCGGGGCGGTTCTCCTCCAGGGGGAGGGGACCGACGAGCGCCCGTTAGAATACACTCCAGGTAAGGCGATCGTTATAGCCGACACTCTGTCGCGCCCGG